GTCAGGGTTTAAGCAGAAGAAAACAGGTCCAGGAGCAAGGCAAGTCAGTAACAGGAAATCACAGATCAAAGTAGCACAGGAACAGGAGATCACACATCATCAGGAACAGGAGATCACAGGAACAGGACATCAGACAGGCAAATCACACATCACAGGAACAGGAGATCACAGATCAAAGTAGCACAGGAACAGGAAGATCACAGATAACAATCACTGAAACAGGAATCACAGATAACAGGAGATCACAGATCATAGTAGCACTGGAAATCAAATCACAGATAACAGGAAATCACAGATCACAATAGCACTGGAAACAGGAAATCACAGATAACAGGAGATCACAGTAGCAGTACACTGGAACAGGAGATCACATCACAGTAGCACTGGAACAGGAAATCACAGATCACAGATAACTGGAACAGGAAATCACAGAAAACAGTAGCACTGGAACAGGAGATCACAGATAACAGGAAATCACAGATCACAGTCACTGGAACAGTCACAGATCACACTGGAACAGGAAATCACAGATCACAGTAGCACTGGAACAGGAAATCACAGATCACAGTAGCACTGGAACAGGAAATCACAGATCACAGTAGCCCTGGAACAGGAAATCACAGATCACAGTAGCACAGGAATGTACCGGGGAGCCGGAGATCAACCAGCACCTGAGAGTAGTGCAGGGCTTCCTTATAAAAGCCGTTTGGCGCCAAATTTGAGCCGATGTGAACTTCTGCAGCCATGCAAGGTACTGGCAGGGGTGCCAGGTCTCCTAACACCTCTGCCGAGGACGGAGCCCTGACAGTAAGCTCTTATGCACAGGGCGCTCCAAACCCTCTTGTTCTAAACTGTACTGCAACTGTACTGTCTACCTTTACTAAGCTCCGCCCAAACTGCTAATGCTACATAAATACTGTAGATGTAGTGTCTGCATCATTTTTTTTTTTGTTTTATTTCAGCTGCTGATCTTGCCAATAACCAGGGCGGACGGACAACTCATGGGGCCCCCTACTGACCCCGGGCAGTGCCCGAGTTTCCAAATGGTCAGTCTGCCCCTGCCAATAACAGTTCCCGTCCTTGGGTGACAAACACTCACTGTACTGTATCAATGGAAAAGCACCGTGGTCGCCCCAGCACAAGGCTACAATGGCCTCCATAACAGATAGAAATCAGCACGTCCATACAGACAGGAGAGAGACCTACGTTTACACACATCTCTCCCCTCTCAGCTTCACCAACGATCACCAAGTCCGGCCCGAGACCCAGTGATTGACATCCTCAGGAACCAATTGTAGCGTGGGTAGGGCAGCGCATGCACACCCTACCCAGACATGCAAAATTACGTACATTTATGTGATTTTGCACAGCGCAGCCACCCTGGAGCAGTACATCTGCTATGGGCCGGTCGTTAAGTAGTTATACACATACAGTACCTCCTAGAAGTGAGTCCACCCCTCACATTTTTGTAAATATTTGATTCTATCTTTTCATGTGACAACACTGAAGAAATGACACTTTGCTACAATGTGACGTAGTCAGTGTACAGCTTGTATAACATGTACATTTGCTGTCCCCTCAAAATAACAACACACCGCCATTAATGTCTAAACCGCTGGCAACAAAAGTGAGTACACCCCTAAGTGACAAGGTCCTAATTGGGCACAAAGTGTCAATATTTTGTGTGGCCGCCATTATTTTCCAGCACTGCCTTAACCCTCTTGGGTATGGAGTTCACCAGAGCTTCACAGGTTGCCACTGGAGTCCTCTTCCACTCCTCCATGACGTCATCATGGAGCTGGTGGATGTTAGAGACCTTGCGCTCCTCCACCTTCTGTTTGAGGATGCCCCACAGATGCTCAATAGGGTTCAGGTCTGGAGACATGCTTGGCCAGTCCATCACCTTTACCCTCAGCTTCTTTAGCAAGGCAGTGGTGGTCTTGGAGGTGTGTTTGGGGTCATTATGTTGGAATACTGCCCTGTGACCCAGTCTCCGAAGGGAGGGGATCATGCTCTGCTTCAGTATGTCACAGTACATGTTGGCATTCATGGTTCCCTCAATGAACTGTAGCTACCCAGTGACAGCAGCCCCAGACCATGAAACTCCCACCACCATGCTCGACTGTAGGCAAGACACACTTGTCTTTGTACGCACCTGGTTGCCGCCACACACACGCATGACACCATCTGAACCTAATCAGTTGATCTTGGTGTCATCAGACCACAGGACATGGTTCTAGTAATCCATGTCCTTAATCTGCTTGTCTTCAGCAAACTGTTTGCAGCTTTCTTGGTCATCATCTTTAGAAGAGGCTTCCTTCTGGGACGACAGCCATGCCAACCAATCTGATGCAGTGTGCGGCGTATGGTCTGAGCACTGACAGGCTGACCCCCCCACCCCTACAACCTCTGCAGCAATGCTGGCAGCACTCATACGTCTATTTCCCAAAGACAACCTCTGGATATGACGCTGAGCACGTGCACTCAACTTCTTTGGTGGACCATGGCGAGGCCTGTTCTGAGGGGAACCTCTCCTGTTACACCGCTGTATGGTCTTGGCCGCCGTGCTGCAGCTCAGATTCAGGGTCTTGGCAATCTTCTTATAGCCTAGGCCAGTGGTCGGCAAGCCGCGGCTCTTTACACGCTTTAATGCGGCTCTTGTGTGCCGGGCCCCCCGCTCCCCTCCCTCCTCTCGGGCGGCAGGGACTCTGCAGCGTGATCCAAAAAAAAAAAACAGCCAGGGCAGCGCGCTCAAATGCAATGATTGGCCAGTCTTGCTGCCACTCACATCCTGATAGCCAGTGATTGGCTGTCAGGATGTGTGTAGGCAGGGCAGCGTGACGAACGTGAGAGGAGCTAGGCTCCTCTCACAGTCCGCCCTGAAGACCGGAACACGGCGAGAGGAACGCGCGCGGAGCAAAGGTAAGTGAATTGACACAGGGGGGACTTGGCTTACTACTTACTTACTACTACTATATGAGGGATGAATTACTATAGGGAGGGGGGATGAATTACTATAAAAACTTATTGAAACTAAAAACAGTGTACCATCCTATGTATTTTCAGTTTTAAAAATGTGGCTCTCAAAATAAATTTCAATCGTGGTTTTGGCGAGATTTGGCTCAGTTGAAAAAAAAAGGTTGCCCACCACTGGCCTAGGCCATCTTTATTTAGAGCAACACAATTATTTTTTTTCAGCTCCTCAGAGTTCTTTGCCATGAGGTGCCATGTTGAACTTCCAGTGACCAGTATGAGAGTGAGAGCAATAATACCAAATGTAACCCACCCGCTCCCCATTCACAGCTGACACCTTGTAACACCAACGAGTCACATGACCCCAGGGAGGGAAAATGGCTAATTGGGCCCAATTTGGACCTTGTCACTTAGGGGTGGAGTCACTTTTGTTGCCAGCGGTTTAGACATTAATGGCGGTGTGTGTTGAGTTATTTTGAGGGGACAGCAAATTTCCATGTTATACAAGTTATACACTGACTACGTCACATTGTAGCAAAGTATCATTTCTTCAGTGTTGTCACATGAAAAGATAGAATACAATATTGACAAAAATGTGAGGGGTGGACTCACTTCTGGGATACTGTCCATAAACCCGCATGCGCCTTAGGGCACAAAGATTGTTGTCCTTCGCAATCTCGAATGCACACAAAGTCCATTATGAAACAACAGAAACCAAGTATAGTATGTTTTATTGAGTAAAATAAAGGGAGAAACAGGAAATAAAACCACAGTAAAATATTGCTTTTATGGAGTAATGCATTACCTTTTTCTAGACATTTTCATTAAATATCACTCTTGTTTAGGACACTTCGATAATGTCCTGCAAGCTGTCACAACAATATTTAGAGTCAACAATCTATACATCACAGTTATATCACCAGCTGCACATCCGGCAGCCGGAGGACTTCATAGTGAAGAAAGCAGTCATATCACTAGGTAACAGGAAGGAGATGATGAAGAAGAGGAGGAAGGAGGAGGGAGGAAGGAGGAGGGAGGAAGGAGGAGGGAGGAAGGAGGAAGAAGAGGAAGGAGGAAGAAGAGGAAGAAGAAGAAGAAGAAGAAGAAGGATCTAAAAAAACAGACATCCTTACTTGATACGTCTAAAACTTCACACCGAAAAAAGGAGCGTCTGGGCAAAAAAAAAAAAAAAAAATTGAATATAAAATCAGTATATCTTTGCAAAACATACACATTCCCTGTGGTTTATCCCTTTCAGAAATGCCCCAAAGTACAGAAAAGCAGAACGCTCCTGTAGTGAGCCAGCGACGATGCCTCTGCTGTTGAAATGCCCAGCAGGAGGTGTCAGCCCTGCTCAAGTCTCCCTTGCTGAACTACAGAACACATTTCCCTCTCCTCCTTTTTTATAAGGGGGTGTTCTGGTACAGCAAGGGAGAACTCTACCAGGGCTGACAACACTGCTTGGGATTTCAGAACAGCAAAGGCAGAGTTTTCATCAGGGGCGGACTGACCATTTGGAAACTCGGGCAAAGCCCAAGGGCCCGGGGTCAGTAGGGGGCCCCATGAGATGCCCCTGGTATCTTTTTCATAGGCTTGTTTGAGTTTGGGCAAGGACACAGGGGTTCCATGATCCCCTATTGCCTGGGGGCCCCATGAGTTGTCAGTCCGCCCCTGGTTGTCATCCTACAATAGAAATGAGCAGCTCACTGGATTTCTGGCAGATCAATACTTTTTTTTTTCTGCAATTGCAATTTAAAGTGAAACAGTGTGGAAAATGAGTGTATCGTAGAGACGTACTGATTTTTGGGGTTTTTTTTTTGCTCACACACACACTTGTTGGCCTTTTTTGAAAGTTTTGGGACAACTTCAAATGCATCACACTGTAGCAGCATTCTAATGATTAAGCAGTACATGGCTTTTTCAAAAGAAACATCAGGTGCATACACAACCAGAGTGGATGAAAAATCACAGGAGATCGTACATTTGGTTTCTATTTAAAGGATAGGCGCATTTTAAAACAAGAGGGATTATCTTTTTTTGATTCCCCCGCCATAGATGCATGCTTGCCTCCCATCAACAGCTGTGGTTCTGTGTTTGGTTACAACCGGGGGGCGCCCTCGCTGTTGCGTTACATCCGGGGGGCGCCCTCGCTGTTGCGTTACAACCGGGGGGCGCCCTCGCTGTTGCGTTACAACCGGGGGGCGCCCTCGCTGTTGCGTTACAACCGGGGGGCGCCCTCGCTGTTGCGTTACAACCGGGGGGCGCCCTCGCTGTTGCGTTACATCCAGGGGGCGCCCTCGCTGTTGCGTTACATCCGGGGGGCGCCCTCGCTGTTGCGTTACATCCGGGGGGCGCCCTCGCTGTTGTTACATCCGGGGGGCGCCCTCGCTGTTGTTACATCCGGGGGGGCCCCTCGCTGTTGTTACATCCGGGGGGGCCCCTCGCTGTTGTTACATCCGGGGGGGCCCCTCGCTGTTGTTACATCCAAGGGGGCCCCTCGCTGTTGTTACATCTAGATGGCCCCTGCCATTTATTTACATCCAGCAGATCTGCACATCAGTGTCCAATAAACTTACGGGGCTGTTTCCCCAGTTGGAGACAGAGACTGTCCATGGCAAGGATCTCCAAACTTTCTAGATAAAGGGCCAGTTTACTATCCTTCAGAATTTAGATGGGCTGGACTGTGGTCAGTTGGGGTAGAAAGTGCCCTGGCTTTAGCAAGCATGCCCCCTTCATTGGTGTCTGTGAGATTAGTGACGCACTGTTGGTGTCAGCGGCAGGAATTATGCCCCAATATTGGTGTCCGTGAGATTAGTGTCCCATGGTTGGTGTCAGGAATTATACCCCATCATTGGTGTCCATGAGAAGATTAGTGTCCCATGGTTGGTGTCAGTGGCAGAAATTATGCCCCAATATTGATGTCAGTAATTGTTTATGTCAGTGGGAAGAATAGTCCAGTGCCAAGAGCCAAGCAAAGGGCCAAATTCAGCTCTCAGCCCGCAGACCACTGGTCTCTGGGTACAAAAAGCACCATCCAACAGCTCAATGTGCATATATTATGAAGAACACCATCAACTCCTCCCAAGGCCACACCTTCTGATATGTTTCACCCCACCCCAGGGGCTTAGTTAGAGGTGGCCCATGGTGTCCTACGGCCTTCAATGCAGCTGTGTCCCCAGCCAGAGATAATCAGAAACTGTTCCATAGTCTACGGGGCCACAACGAACAGGCATGGCCAGGACAGAGACAACTTGTCCTGCTGGATGTAAACAAACAGCAGATATGTGGCCATTGGATGAAGATAAAAATACATCTGAGGAGGGTGGATTAGGTTAAATCCGGAAGAAGTGCATATTGTTTTAAAGAGCTCTTATCCTTTATAGGAAACCTCCATTTTAAATACCATCTGGGGAACAAATCGTTTAAATCACATAAACCTCGATAATTTGCCACCGACTTCGCCCATTGGATTGCAGGCCTGCTCGTCAATACCTACCTATCGTTCTACACCCCTTTTATCCCCATGGACTCTGGCGTCTGAGCTCCTACTAGCGTGGAGTGAGAAGATGGACAAGCAGCTTTGAAATATTCCGCAATATCCATGGGATAAGATAGATTAGGAGCAACCTCCTTCCCTAACACTGTTAGACACCCCTCCCTTCTGGTACTGGTGCCAGGTGGGGTCAACTGGACAGGAAGTGGTGGAAAATCTCTTCCATGGAGAAACCATAAACACCATTTCTAGTACTGTGGGAAAGGGGAAGAACCTGTAAGTCCTGGAGACCTCAAAACCATCTTAATGTTTTGGAGGCTAAAATTTCCCCAGTAGGGACACATAGTAGTAAAATTTTGCCAAAATTTCCAACCCATCATGCTGGGGAAAAAACAAATTGGCTAAAGTTAGGCTTTTAGTTTTTCCAATTCTCGCTCTAAAGCCAGCCAACACAACCCAACGATCCCATCTCTTCGATGGCCAGCTTGGCAGTGTGAGGACCTATGTAAACAATTCTCACAGTTTATTTGCAGTCAGGTCGGCCCTACCACCTCGTTGCCGCCTTAAGGAAATGGTGCAGATTGTAAGGTGTGGGCAGGCTTTTTGTAACATACTTACTATACCAAATGCAGATTTTTTTTTTTTTATTTAAACAATACTCACGTAAAATATTTAGATGGTACTGACTGTAACTAAGACTATCCCATTTTCCATACATGGTCAAAGTCTCATTATATTCAGAGCACTTTATACGATCTATTCTCTGCTGAGCCCATCATTCTACCTTGAATAAAATGTATAAAACAAAGGACCTCTTAGACACTGTTACATGCTCATTCAGGGCACAGCGGCGGTCCTTGCTGATCGCCTACCGCCCAAGAAAGGTATACTTATGCAGGTGAAGGAGCACGCAGCTTACCTAGGGAGGCAGGAAGGAAGAGTAGATGAGGAAACAGAACAAGAACTTACCTACGGTGTACTTCTGCAATGGGGAGGTGATGAAGGAGCATATATGCGCACCTTAGGCAGGAATGCAGCCCAAGTAAGCTCTGTGCACCCCTCACCACCTCCCTGCTGCAGGAGAGCACCTCCCCAAGTAAGCTCTGTGCTCCCTCACCACCTCCTTGCTTCAGGAGAGCACCCCAAGTAAGCTCTGTGCTCCCCCACCGCCTCCCTGCTGTAGGAGAGAACCCCATGTAAGCTCTGTGCTCCCTCACCGTCTCCCTGTAGCTCTGTGCTCCCTCACTATGCCACCTGATGCCTCCCATGTAGTAAAGATGCAGCCCATGTAAGCTCTGTGCACGCCCCCTCAGCACCCCGCCTCCCTGCTGCAGGAGAGCACCCCAAGTAAGCTCTGTGCTCCCTCACCGCCTCCCTGCTGTGCAGCCCAAGTAAGCTCTGTGCTCCCTCACCGCCTCCCTGCTACAGCCCAAGAAAGCTCTGTGCTCCCTCACCGCCTCCCTGCTACAGCCCAAGAAAGCTCTGTGCTCCCTCACCGCCTCCCTGTTACAGCCCAAGTTAGCTCCCTGTGCTCCCTCACTGCCTCCTGGATGCAGGACTGCAGCCCAAGTAAGCTCTGTGCACCCTCCCTGCAGCAGGAGAGCACCCCAAATAAGCTGTGTGTACCCTCCCCGCCTCGCCACTGCAGGAGTGTGCCCTAGGTAAGCTCTGTACTCCCTCACCACCTCCCTGCAGCAGGAGTGCACCCCACATAAGCTGTGTGTACCCTCACCACTGCAGGAGTGCACCCCACATAAGCTGTGTGTACCCCCACCACTGCAGGATTGCACCCCTGTAAGCACTAGAAGGCCTGGTGATTGGCTGCTCAGGTTGAAAAGGGGAGGGGACAGAATATCAAAAGGTAAAGGAAAGCCCCGCTCAGAGCAAGAGGAAGGGTTCTGATGGAGCCATCCAGAAGCCATGTTACTTTACCTAGAATGGGCAAGATGCCAGTGTCTCCAAGCACAAAAATTTGGATCGCTCTATAGCAACTGTAGAACAGATATGAAAAAAAAAAAAAGGGAAAAAAAAAGAAAAAACCACAAGAACAAAACACTTCAAAAAGTCATCCTGACAAGTGGTCATTGAGCTTGACCTTTCCATAACAAAGGATTAAAAGACTTTTACAAAAATAAAATTAACAGATGAAACAGGGTAACCGATGAAAAGATGAGGGTCGTTCACACCTCTCTTAGAAGTAAACAGGGGAACATGTTATTCGAGAAACATTCTTTCTGGGAAGGCAAGGGTGCTATAAAAGGGACGTGGCTGAAAAGATGACATATAGATTCTTCATCGTGTCCCCGTCTGATGGCTTCGGCCAGGGCTCCTCCAGCGGGGAGGCGTTGAGGGAACACAGAGCTACCTTGGGGTGCTCTTCTGCAGCGGGGAGGAAGCACAGAGCTACCCTAGGGTGCTCTCCTGCAGCGGGGAGGAAGCACAGAGCTACCCTGGGGTGCTCTCCTGCAGCAGGGAGGAAGCACAGAGCTACCCTGGGGTGCTCTCCTGCAGCAGGGAGGAAGCACAGAGCTACCTTGGGGTGCTCTCCTGCAGCAGGGAGGAAGCACAGAGCTACCCTGGGGTGCTCTCCTGCAGCAGGGAGGAAGCACAGAACTACCTGGGGTGCTCTCCTGCAGCGGGGAGGAAGCACAGAGCTACCTTGGGGTGCTCTCCTGCAATAGGGAGGTGGTGAAGGAGCATATATGTACACCCTAGGCAAGAGTGCAGCCCATGTAAGCTCTGTGCTCCTTCACTGCCTCCCTGCTGCTGGAGTGCACCCCAAGTTAGCTCTGTGCTCCCTCTCCACTGCAGGAAAGCACCCCAAGGTAGCTCTGTGCTCACTCACCGCCTCCCTGCTTCAGGAGAGCACCCCCCAATAAGCTGTGTGTACCCTCACCACCTCTCCACTGCAGGAGTGTGCCCCAAGTTAGCTCTGTGCTCCTTCACCACTGCAGGGGTGCGCCCTAAAAATGCTGTGTGTACCCTCACCACTGCAAGAGTGCTCCCCAAGTTAGCTCTGTGCTCCCTCTCCACTGCAGGAAAGCACCCCAAGGTAGCTCTGTGCTCACCCACCGCCTCCCTGCTTCAGGAGAGCACCCCCCAATAAGCTGTGTGTACCCTCACCACCTCTCCGCTGCAGGAGTGTGCCCCAAGTTAGCTCTGTGCTCCCTCACCGCCTTCCCCACTGCAGGAATGCACCCTAAAAATGCTGTGTGTACCCTCACCACCTCTCCGCTGCAGGAGTGCTCCCAAAGTTAGCTCTGTGCTCCCTTCCCCACTGCAGGAAAGCACCCTAGGTAAGTCCTGTGCCCCCTCCCCACTGCAGGAAAGCACCCCAAGGTAGCTCTGTGCTAACTCGCCGCCTCCCTGCTACAGGAGAGCACCCCCAAACAAGCTGTGTGTACCCTCACTGCCTCCCCACTGCAGGAGTGCTCCCCAAGTTAGCTCTGTGCTCCCTTCCCCACTGCAGGAAGCACCCTAGGTAAGTCCTGTGCTCCCTCCCCAATGCAGGAGAGCACCCCAATAAGGTCTATAAGGCCTGGTGATTGGCTGCTCAGGGGAAAAGGACAGAACATTAAAAGGGTAAAAGGAAAGCCCCGCTCAGAAGAAGAGGAAGGGTTCTGATGGAGCCATCCAGAAGCCATGTTACTTAGAATGGGCAAGACGCCAGTGTCTCCAAGCACAAAAATGGAATCCTTCTATAGCAACTGTAGAACAGATATGAAAAACAAAAAAACCACAACAAGAACAAAACACTTCAAAAAGTCATCCTGACAAGTGGTCATTTAGCTTGACCTTTCCATACCAGAGGATTAAAAACACTTTTACAAAA